ATCATCAGCGTACCTGATGTTGCCTGTTAGTTCCGTTAATCTTGATTCCACCTTGAACCTCGTTTAATGTTTTTCTGAATATAGATTCCGAATACAGGTTAAATTATAGTGGTGATAAGACGCAAGCTTGTCGCACTCCTCGTCAGATTCGTATATCTTCAGATGTTGTGTGCTCTATTTCAATTGTTGCCATTTGGTGCCAATATAGTTCTGAGATAATTCGCAAGTCCAATATATCAATTCTAGTTGTTCTTAGAATTTAGATCATCTTTTGATGGTTAACGCAGTCAATTGCTTTTCGATACTTTTTACGAATAAAACATGCATATACATCTACATTCATGTCTCCGCATCGTTCTGTTAACATATTTAAGGCAAAAAGAGTTCCGTGTTCCAATCCATTTCGAAATCCGAAAACAGTATTTACCAAATGGAATATATCGTTAAATACAAAGGCACTTGTATACTTCCAACACACAATGTACTTATGACTCTAAGAAAATTGAATATATACTGACCATATACGCACCCTTCCTCCGCTACTGACACACTTCCTGGTAACATTCATAGCGATAGCTAAACGGGATGAAAAGCCTAACTGATCACGCTCATGGTTCATTTCACTTATTATCTGCCAGACTATAGAAGTCTAACTTTTTTGCAGTTTTTTAAGAAACCTTAGGGATTCTAAATGGTCGTAATTTTGAATTACTAACACAGAAAAAAATAAGGGAAAGAAAGTTCTTTTTATGTATAACGTTCGCGGTTAGATTTAAAGCTATCATCATCGGGTGGTGTCATTGTAATGTCGGTTGACGGTTTTAATAGGAGGACCTAAGCCCAAACAATTTTTTGCATACCATGCGTACATTGCAATAAATTTTAATTTCTATAAATATTTTTACGTTGCAAATATAATGCAGATACTTGTACAACTTCAATTACCAAATCATTCCGATAATAATAAAAGGGCAGTTTTTGCGGAACATGCGGGACGCCTTGCGGGGCTAAGTGCCAGTCCCATCCTGTGTTACGTCCCGCGTCCCGATTCGCAGCAAAAATCGCTGTCCCGTAAAGTGTAAGACAGGACGTTTGTTCTGCGGTTTCAGTTTTCCTTATATTTGAATGCATGTAGTACCTCTTCATTTATTATCGTTGGACCGCCATTTGATTCTTCTGATATTGTTGGCCTGAGTCTTTCATCTTGAAAAAGGCCTTCTATATATTCTTTCGATGTGTGTATTTTTCTTCTTATGTGTGTTAAATGAGTCATGTAATTCTTGTAATTTTTTATTTCACAACATTTCTCATTTAACCAATGCTTCTTTGTTTTGTCTATAGTTTTAATGATCCTTCCGTTCTTCATTAGCTTAAATATTTTCGGTCATTCAGTATTTTGTTCTTTTTCTAACACTTTTTAATGAGTTTATATTTTAAGTTCTTAATTTGGATTCCACAAGGAAACTTAAATCCTATAATTATAACAGAAAACGAAGGTCAACTAAGCTCAAGAGGAAAAATCTCCGGCTATGATCTTTTGGGCGCTACCTACGATAAAGCTTACGGAGTGGCAACATATGTCCGTTTAAACATAGAAAATGCAGCATTAATCGCCACTTCTACCGAGAACAACATCCACGAGGTAACTGTGAAAATAGGCAATGTCATAATAGCTAACATATACAAACCTCCTGCTATTACCTGGCCTGTCCAAGTTCTTAATTCCTATGAACATCCAGACATATACGTAGGGGATTTCAACAGCCACCATGAGATGTGGAAATACTCAGACACTGACAGAAATGGCACATCCCTTGTGGAATGGGCAGAGGAACATGGTGCCCACCTTCTATTGGAATATGGTTTTGCTAATTCTATTATACAACAGTCTTTCGAACAATTTGTACACCATACTTAAGAGTGCGATAGGGCGGTAGTTTTTCGGTGAATTATTATTTTTCCCTGGTTTTAAAATGGCGACGATTTTTGCATTTTTGAGTTGGTGGGGGACGTTTCCCGTTTGAAGGATGTCAGAAAAGAATTCTGCGAGCCATTGCCTAGTAAATCTGCCGCTATGTTTGAGGAAATCAGCGTGAATGGCGTCGAAACCCGGCGCTTTTCCTGTTTTCATTTCATTTAGGGCTTGCGATATTTCTTCATGCGTAAATGGGTTGGAATATTCTGTTGACTGTGCAAGACTAGATTTTATGGTTTTGAGGTCTTTTTTAACTTTAATTTATGTAAACGATTTTGAGGTGCCCTAGAGGTTGACACTATGTGCGTAGCTATTTGGTCTGGAGTTACTAGGTTGGTTTGGCGAACGGGTGGGTTGCTACTTCCGAGTTTCCGCAGTAGGGACCAAGCTTGTCGACTTGACTTCTGGAAGTCTAGGTTTTCTACTGTCTGTGTCCATTTTTCACGCCTGGCAGCATCAATGCTGTGGAGTAGTTCGTCTGCAATCTCCTGCTTTCCATCTTCGGCCTATCAATGCTCAGCGGTTTTCTTCAAATGCCAAATTTGAAAGTTTCAAAGTCAAATATCGGGAAAATGATGCATTTTTGGAAGAAAACTTACAAAACCTTTTTTAAAGAGCATAAATAGACCTATCATAAAAAAGACTCTAGCTCAAAAATTGAGTAAGTTATGATGAAAACAAGGTCAACACCTCATTTTTTACGAAAAAATCGATGAAAACAATCCCCTAACCACCTCCATAATTAAAATCGATCTTCACCCTTCTGCAATTCCCTTTGTACATGTATTGTTAATACGTCCAAGAAGTTTGACCCATTTAAAATGCTTAGCTTTAGAAAAAGTACAGCTTAAAGCGAGAAACGATTTACAATTTCATATTTTTTACCCTTCTTTTTTTAAATATGCCCGAATATACTGAATATATGAAAAAAATAAAAAATATCAAGTTGTAGCTTTTTTAATGACTAAAATTATTCTTTATTTAGATTTCTTGTACAATGAATATTTGGCGAGATATAGCCGTTTAAAGCATCGATTTACGATCAAGCACCATCTTTTTCGAGCCCTTTAAACTCACCCCATTTAAAAACCAACGGTTCCAAAAAGATTTAATTCACAGATCCTTGTAGTTCTTAAAAACCTCTACAAATCGTTTTTGAAGAAACACTCTATCGTTAAAAATTAAAGGAAATACGTTAAAAAAACCAGTTAATTTTTTTCCGGAAAATTCCATTAGTATGGTACAGTACATTTCGGAGCATAATAATCTACAAACTATTTTGTAGCTATTCTATTTTTGTTTACAAATTCAATTTTTTTTCTTAAGAAACTTCATCAAAATTTTTCAGAGAAACATTTATTAGAATAAGGCATTTTTTTATTAATATTTTTTGTATTTAATATGTAAGCAGTAGTTTTATATAAAAAACTAATTTTATTTGGTGAGTTAACAAAAAATTTTTTATTTCTAGTTCAACTTTGTAAGACATTTTGTATTTTTTAGAAGCTCTTGATAAAAATTGTAATCACAATTGAAAGCTCGAGTAAAAAATAGTCAACAAATAGCCCCTTTTATTGACTCCAACCCATCAAAAACAGTGTTATATATATATATATATATATATATATATATATATATATATATAGATATATATATATATATATATATATATATATATATATATAATATAATATATATATATATATATATATATATATATATATATATATATATATATATACATATATATGAACCTGTGATGTAGCCATACGCTAAATAAAAAAATAAATAAATCCTATAATTAGCTGTATACCATGTATTCCAAAAAATTTATTTACAAAATTTCCTTTATAAACGGTATAATAATAAAAACACTATCGGGCTAAATTACAGAACGTTTTCAGAATAACTATTCCATCATCAATGCCATCTGGATGTACATGTTTGAAGCCACTAAAAATATGGGTAAAAACACTTATAATGTAGTTTGATTAACTTTGAGTTATATCTTTGATATTTAAAAACTATGATGTTTAAGGTACAATCGGAATTGATCACATGGCAACGTATGACTCCACTGGGATTGCTAGTCCTTAGACGAAGTATCTGTGATGTTCATCCTGACATTTTCTGCTATTAATTGTAGTTAGCAGTAGTTCTTTATATTTATCCTTTTTTTAACGTTAAATTTTGTTTCCTTGTTTCTCAGTGTGGAGATGGAGAGATCAATGTTGTGCCTATTTTGACTCTGTTTATATTGTTTTACGATTATACCAAAGACATTAGAGTTAGAATAGAAAAGGCTAGAAGTGCATTCAATAATATGAAACAAAATATTACGTTGTAGAGACCTCAGCCTAAATCTTAGAAAACGAGTATTAGTGTTATGTATTTTCTGTTCTTTTGGATGGTATGGAGACATGGACTTTAAATAAATAATGTCTCAATAAATAAAGTATTTGAAATGTGGAGATATCGGATAATGCTGAGAATCCCCTGGACGGACAGAATAACCAATGACGAAGTAAAAATAGAGAACAGCAGGGAGATACTGGATTCCGTTAAAATAAAAAAACTACAATATCTGGATCATATAACACGTAGTGACAGATATGAATTCCTAAAACTACTATTGCAGGGAAAGATTTAAGGAAAGCGCAGCATAGGTAGAAGAAGAATGTCCTGGCTGAGAAATCTCAGAGAATGGTTTGGATGCAGCTCAACTAAATTCTTTCGGGCTATAGTGTCAAAAGTTAGAATAGCAGTGATGATTGCCAACCTTCGTCGCGGTGATGGCACGTAAAGAAGAATATTGTTCTAGTTTTAAACTAAATTCAGCTAAAACTGGGCTATGATCAGAAGCTACGTTAGCACCTGGATACGAATTTGATATGATTTGTTAATGATATAAATTCTTAATAATATAGCCTATTCGGTGTTTTAAGATTTTACCCTCTGTATCCTGAGGCAACGTTCAGGTTTATAATCTTTTTAGTGGAATATTGTATAACGTGTTTGCTATTACCATTTTTTTTCTTGGACAATTTTCTCATCTCTCTTTGCACTCGCCAAGTCCATGTCTCTGGTTAAATATCAATTTCTCTGCAAATATTATACGCTCTTAATTTTCTAAGATGTACTGTTATAGCAATCAACACAGATAACTTAATATATCAATTAATTTAACTTCAAACTACAATTATAGTTCAGTCGTCAGAGATATGACCTCTTAAAATTTTGCTGAGATTATCAAGTTTGGGACCCCAAAAAGAAGCAAAAAAGTTTACTACTTTTACCCCTCAGCTTCTCCCTAAACGTAATGGGTGGGGGAGAGGGGATGAGGCAGAAAAAATCGATTAATCAAAAATATGTACGCCATAAATTTTTTTTTTTTTCAAATATAAAATGTAGCTAAGATAATTTTAACAAAACAAAAAACCAGCTTCCAGCAAAACTCAAAAATGGCATTGTCGATAGGACACTCTGATTAAAAGATATCGAATTTTTACCATCGGGTTCATACAAATGTTATTTAAAACTGATTTCTCTCGCGTAACTGACATTCAAAATCACCTGTCGCTTCAAGCGTTGTTTCTGAGAGAACGGTTCATTATACACAAAAAGTGGTAATAAACGTTTTTGTTAAGAATTATCTCAGCTACATATCGAATTTTTCCGCCCCCCCCCCTTAGACCATTTAAGGGGCCATTTGAAAGTGGTAAATTTTTTTGGATATTTTGAGGAATTGATATTCTCAGCAAAATTCAGCTTGTTTGTATGATTTTTAGAGGTTCAGTAGTGATTTTGTCTTTGAAGACTCAAGTATTATCATCATCATTCTGGCTTTACAACCCTACCCGAGAGTTCTAGCCTCCTCAAGAATTTCTCTCCATCAGTCTCTATCCATCGCCTTTCTCTGTCAAGCACACATTTTCATATTTTTCATGGCTTTACCGATGTTATCAAGGAACCTTGTTCTGAGTCTTTCTTTTATTCTCTGACCAATGGGTCTATCAAGGAACGTTTTTCTAGCTGAGTTATTTTGTTTCATCCGCATTACATGTCCTATCCTCCTCAGACGTCCTATCTTAATATGTTTTACGATATTAGGTTCCTGATATATTCTATAAAGTTCGAAGTTGTATCGTCTTCTCCACACTCCATTGTCATTCAAATACTTATTATCAAAGTATTATTCAAATATAATAAATTTTAATCAAATGAACTTTTTAAATAATTTTTCTTTTTGTAGCAAAATATGTACACAATATTTAGAATTTTTTTCACTATAATAATTATTTGTTACTTTTGTCAAATTGTTTACTTTTTAATTTTTGCATATATTTCTTCCTACATTTTAAAAATAATTTTTAAATTTTGTAATTTCGCCACCACTGCAATCAAATATGTAATATTAATTTATATATACTACGCTACGTTGCCAAAGTCATATAAATACTTCGCATGCTCCGAATTCTTATTACATTGCTTGTATATTATCACGGACGTAGTAAAAGGTTAAGGAATTTGGTGCATAAATTCAAAATTATCGCAGAGACAATATGTTTGGACTTTAATATATTTGCATTAGAAGCGACAAATTAAAAATTTTATCAAGCCTATAATATAAAAAAAAAAATTAATTTAATAAAAAGTGGAAAAGTGGAAAAAGCTGATACGATTCGTAATGATTCTAAATTCTAATGGCTAAAAACTATTGACTACATATTATGTAGGTAATACTTCTATACAAGTATATACCTATATACAGGATGCGCTAAACCTTATTGTTTTGTTACGGTTAAGCTTGGAGTATATAAAAAATGTTTATAACAAAACTAAATACAGGGTGTCCCATAATTAATTGGACATTAGCTAATGGGTGATAGCTGACATTAAAATAAAGCATTTGAGCTCAAATTGCTTAGGCAAAATGTTGCTAGTTTTCGTTATAAAGGGTGATTCATTAATATTTTTTTTATATTATTTTTAGGGATATATTGAAAACTATTCAACCGATTTAAGTAAAATTTGGTATCTTTCTATTATTTAGTATGCTTAATATGAAAATGATAATAGTTTTACCGATGACACTAGGTGGCGCCACCTACTATAACATTGGTTCATTAATGGGATTCAATTCAGTCAATTAATGGGTTCATTCTAGGAAAAAACATGAAATAACATTCAATTCTACACAAAAAAGATGTTTTTGTTTCAAATAAAAAAAGTAGACCGTTTTCGAAATAAACGTATTTTTTAGAGACGTGCATAAAATAAAAAAAAAATTACAAAAACTTATGTAAATTCAAACATTATTCAAAAGGTCTTAAATAAAAGTGAATATTAAATGTATTAGTAGTAGATAATTTCTGCAAACAAAATGCATATGATTGTAACAATTATTTTTATTAAACCTTTGACTCAGTAACAAATTTTAAAGAAATCAGAAATTAAATTAAACAATGAAGTGAATATAAAACAATTAACAAAGTGAATAATTCAAAACAAGACGGAAAAAAATTACAATAAGTGTTCAAAATGTGCACCATTAGATAAACTACATAATCTAAATCTTTTGTGTAAGTTTTGTCTTATTTTAAATAATGAGTTTCTTTGGGCTCTAATTACGTTAAATCCCTCTACAATCTTGTGCCATAAGTCTTGACGGTTATTTATTTTTTTTTATATAAACAAGTGACTTTAGGTAGCCCCACAAGTGAAAGTCTAGAGGATTTAGTTCGGGACAGCGTGCTGGCTATGGGTATACACTACCTCTACCAATCCACCTTTGAGGATAAATTTCATCTAGATAATTTCTAACTTCTAAGCTATAATGTGGTGGTGCACCATCATGCATGAACCAAGAGTTCCGTCTCAAATTTAGAGGTATGTCTTCTGAAAGAGTTGGTAAATCTTTTCCCAAAAAATTTAGATAGGTTACTCCGTCAAGCCTAGTTGATTATTCGAATGGTCCTACAATACAATCCCCAAATATGCCACACCAGATATTTATGGAAAACTCGTGTTGAAAATGATGTTTTTGAAATGCATGAGGATTTTCTGTCGCGTAGGTATGGCTATTGCGCCAGTTAAATACCCCTTCTAGTAAATGTGGCTTCATCGGTAAATAAAATTTTATTATAAAACATTGGATCGTCTAAATGCCGCCCCATCATAAACTGACTAAATCGGAGGCTTGCTGGAAACTTCTGTGGTAAAAGATTCTGTACTAGAGTAAAACGATACGGATACAGATTTTCTGTCCGTATTATTCTTGACACCGTAGATTTCCTTATACCAGTGGCCGCAGAAACAAGCCTTGTACTAGTTTCTGGATCTTCTGCAACACGCACAACAATTTCATCCTCCATATCTGCATCAATTACTCTGGGTCTTCCAGAATTCCTGTTTTTGGGATGAAATGACCCTGTTTCGCATAATCTATCGAACAATGATCTCATAGTTTTATGGTTTGGTTGCCTTCTGTTGGGATAAAGTTCGAAATAGAGTTCAGCTGCTTTACGAGAACAAAAATTTTCCTGGGCATACAAACAAATCATATCGCGCATTTCTACATTACAAAATTCACTATGACGTAGCATTTTTCCTTTATCTTAAGTGGTTTATAAAAAAGTTAATAGTAGTTTGACAAATAATGACTCGCACTGCACTTTGACAACTAATAATAAATAAATTCGTAGTTACCTTTGACAACTAATAATAAATAAATTCGTAGTTACGTCCTGACGTTGTCATTAAGTTCAAAGCATACTTGTTTTGCAAAAAATTAAATAGAGACATGCATGATTAACAAAATACGTTTATTTCGAAAACGGTGTACTTTTTGGATTTGAAACAAGAATACCGTTTTTGTGTAGAATTGAATGTTATTTCATGTTTTTTTTCCTAGAATGTTTATACAGGGCGGACAAAAAATTATGGCCCTATTAATGGACCAATGTTACAGTAAGTGGCGCCACCTAGTGTCAATGGTAAAACTAATATCATTTTCTTATTAAGCATACTAAATAATAGCAAGATACCAAATTTCACTTAAATCGGTTGAATAGTTTTCAATATATCCATAAAAATAATATAAAAAAATATTAATGAATCTCCCTGTAGAACGAAAACTAGCAACATTTTTCCTAAGCAATTTGAGCTCAAACGATTTATTTTGATGTCAGCTATCACCCATTAGCTAATGTCCAATTAATTATTTTCGATTACACACCACGGGGTCAGTCGCAAAAACGCAATGAAACGAACTAGTTTTTTTAATGGGCATGTTAAACCATTCTTGAATATATTTTTTTAAATATGAAGAGTTTGCATGTTTTATATAAAGTTAATATTTTCCGAAATATTTACACTTTTATTGAGAAAAATGCTAATATTTAAAAGGCTTCCAAGATAATAAAAATGTAAATGACATATCAAAGCGTGAAGTATCATTTTTAAATAATTTAATATTTTTAACATCTAGACATACCACAGAATAATAAACAATCAGAATGCCCAGTCTCCATGGAAATTAAGTGCGCGCATCTCGTTCGCGCAGACGTTCCGCCATGTTTTAAAGGGAGCCAGTGTTGTTTAATGAAAATTTATGTGGTGTGCATAGAAAAATTAACTCGGTTTAATTGACTTACGGCAATCATAGACATACTATAGATTTATATTAACATTGTTAAATATAATAACATAAATATAAATATAATATAATTAAACATAAATATAAACAATTACATAACCTCACAAATCATATATCGATAAAGACTCATTACACCAAATGTGATTCTCAATCCGAGTCTGTGTTCTGTGTTTCCGTCTAAAACATGGCGATCGCATGCTGAAAAACTTTAAAGGCGGCATCTGAGAGTGGGTATTCTGATTGTTTATTATTCTGTGGCCATACAACAAACATTGTGATAACTATTTTGAAATACAATTTTTTCTTATTTTTTAAATGTAATACGCTATATATTAATATTGTATTTTGTAGAAAATAGTACATTTCTTATAGTATTAGATTAATATATACCTGCATATTTCGTTTTGTAAATATTTAGAGA